GAGAAGTGGTTTCCATTTTCCTAGTTTTACACCCCTTTTATCTTTCTCATAACTAAGATAAATTCCAGATATCTGCATAGAAATTGAATAAATAATAATAAAAAATTTTCCTCCCCCCTTTGCTGGGCAAAAGACAAGATTTTCTTGTGATGAGTCAGAACTAATTACTTGCAGTGAGCTTTTGAAATTTGACTAAAGGTCTCTTTGATTGTCTAAAGACAATCAGTCTTTGATTGTCTATTTTTTCGGTGGAAATTGGAGACCGATTATTTCTTGCTCGGTTTGAAACCAGACCCTTGATCTAAGCAACTTGTTGCCTCGGTAATTTAGGTGACCAATTTCCAATCTTCTAAACAAATAGTATATTTAATTCTAAAAACTCAGCCCCTCCCAAACAACCTTGGCAATTCATTGTAGCCTGTGTGAGAAACCAGGAGGCGCCGAAAAAGACTCCTTTTGAGAAGAAACCACACAATGATTTCAAAATAAACATACGATTTTTGTATGCAAGCTGGGTCTGCTCTGATAAATGACAAATTTGCGCACCGATCTGACTGATTAGTCATCCCCAGGCAGAAGCCACATAAAGAAAATATATTTTTTTTAAAAAAATGAATATTATAAGCAGCTGCTTTTCAAAGCCTGCGCCTCGTTTGAAATCTTGAATGCTTACCTAATTGTACATTTTGCTACAAGATGCTCTTTTCAGTTCGTCAGAAAGCAACTTAAACTGAAAGGCAGCACTCCCCAAAAAGGACAGAAACTGCCAACTCTTCTATTCAAAGCATTTAGAGTTCAGGCTAATTATCCTGCGTTCACTCCATGAAGAATCGGGCCAAAAGGAAGAGAGAATTCTTAACGGGCTGGCAAGTGGCAACAATAAAGCACAGAACTTGCTTACATTGTCTGCAGCAACATCTGCCGAAGCATCTGCATTAAGCCTCAGCAGGAATGCTACAAAGAAGCAAATCCAAACAGCTCGGGGAGAAAAGAACAACACCAAAACATCAGCATCATTTGAAGAAAGCTGGCTCCACAATGACCAGCATTCAAAAGTGGTTGTCCTTCATCCTTTCTGACTATGTAGAGATGCTAAACTTATGCCCCGCTTGACTCCTCTCCCAGCTCTGCCAGTCCTTCTCCTGCAAGTATCAGTATAGGTGGAATAGCTTAAGTGATCGTTTATTCTATGGATTGGGTCAGGGATGGTCCGGTAGCACAAATGGTCTGGGTGCAGTGGTGGGATTCAGCCGGTTTGCATCACTTCAGCAGAACCGGTAGCTAATTTTTTGTTGCCCAGGCCCAGAATGGACTTCCAGAAGCAGCATCCACACAGAGAACCGGTTGTTCACATATTTGAATCCCAAACTGTCTGGGTGACAAGGGTGACATGGGCTGTGTGAGAAGGCAATACCCCCATATTTGGCCTATAACATAATCCCACCATAGAGTTCATTAAGATCAGATATGGATATTTGGAGGTAATCGGCCTTTGCTGGCCTATGAATCGTAAGATTCATTTAAAAGGTAAAAGGCAACTCTCATCTCTTTTTACCCGAACATAAATCTACATATGACTATTTTTGAAAAGAATTATGCTACTCAAAATCAGCAATAGTTCTATTCAAGATAACCTACACTGGAGGAATTTGAATTAAGGAAAAACCTTCCTGTCAAAGAAGAAAAGCAAGATGATTTTCTTCAGCAAATTATATTAAACAATTCCACAACTTAATGGAAGACACATCAAAGCCTTTGAACTTTAGAAATGTAAAGCTATTAAAAGTAGATGTTTTAATTCCAGAAAAAATTATACCAGATTGGAATATTGCCTTATTAATTTACACGGTAAAAAGACATGATATTATATTGATTCACACCTCTCTAATAAACAGCAGTCTACCGGTTTCTTGCTAAGAAACAAATCTGTCCTCACGATGTTTTCTAGCCGTTTGAGTGATGAGTGTCAAATCCCTGGGAAAAGTGACAAGCAGAAGGCAGGGTGTCTTAAAACGGTCTGGAATTTAATTCAGTGTTATTAACGCTTGACAAAATCCATCCAACTTGGGCTTCTGATATCCAAGTTATTGCAAGTTTGTAATGTGTAATGATTGCTCTCTATCTTGCTTTTCTCCTTCGTGACCACAGTGCATGCACAAGTTTTCACTTGAAGGACTGAAAATGTGCCCTTCAAGGGTTGAAGAATAGGAAAATTATATATTTGAAAGAAGGCTCCAAAGTAATCAAGACTCATTGATCAAGATGATCAAAGACCTGGAGGCTAAAACATACGAAGAACGGCTGTGGGACTTGGGTTTGGCTAGTCTAAAGAAAAGAAGAAATAGGGGAGACATGATAGCAGTGTTCCAGTATTTGAGGGGCTGCCACAAGGAAGAGGGGGTCACATTATTCACCAAAGCACCAGAGGACAGGATGAGAAACAATGGTTGGAAACTGATCAAGGAGAGAAGCAACCTGGAATTAAGGGGAAATTCCTGACAGTGAGGACAATTAACCAGCTTGCCACCAGAAATCGTGGGCACTCCATCACTGGAGATTTTTAAGAAGAGACTAGACCAGTGGTTCTCAACCTATGGGTTGCGACCCCATTTGGGGTCGATCAACCATTTCATGGGGGTCGCCAAGCAAGGCTGTCCGCCATTTTTTTCCCCTTTTCCGGCGGGTGCCTTACCTCCCTTGAGCTGGGCCAGCTGGTGGTTGGCCTGCTCCGTCTCGGCCAGCGCAGGGGGCGGAACCACGCATGCGCAGCTCTCCTGGGCAGGGAAAGTCCTTGACTTACGACCGGTTGGGTAGTCCTCGACTTACGACCGGTTTAGTCCTTGACTTACGACCGGTTGGGGGTCGCGGCATTAAAAAGGTTAAGAACCACTGGACTAGACATTCACCTGTCTGAGATGGTATAGGACTAGAAGACCTCCAAGGTCCCTTCCAGTTCTATTCTATTCTATTCTATTCTATTCTATTCTATTCTATTCTATTCTATATAAAGATTCTATCCTATCCTATCCTATCCTATCCTATCCTATCCTATCCTATCCTATCCTATCCTATCCTATCCTATCCTATTCCTTGTTCTATTCTATTCTATTCTATTCTATTCTATTCTATTCTATTCTATTCTATTCTATTCTATTCTATTCTATTCTATTCTTCTATTCCGTATTCTATCTACTCTACTCTACTCTACTCTACTCTACGGGCAGTTTTAGGCTTCCAGGTTTAGTGAACATGGTCTATATTTATGTCTAAAACCTGCAACCAGATGTTGCCCAATAGATACTGATCATGGAAGCCTACATCAATGTAATCTAAACCTGCTTATTTTTTAAGAAAAATTAACCTGCTTTTATTATTTTTACAAATAACTCAACGTGGTGAACATAGCTCATATTCCTTCCTCCTCCTATTCCCCTCCACCAACCACCCTTGAGATGAGTTGGGCTGAGAAAGTGCAACTGGCACAAGGTCACCCATGAATAAGGTGGAACTAGAATTCCCAGTCTCCTGGTTTCTAGCCTACTGCGCGATCAAACTGGCTCCCAACAGATACAAATATTACATCTCCTGCGTTCCTTTGGACATAAAGATACATTACTATTCCACTTCTGACCAAATTTTGTTGAAATATAGCTAAAACGACAGACCCAGCAAGGCAATCCAACTGCACCCATCACCTATCTCTTTTCTTTCGTCTTCAAATTTTTATTTTATTCCAAAAAGGATTAAAATACAAAAACTCAAAAACAAAAAAATTAAAGAATGAAAAACAAACAAAAACAAACAACACGACACAAAGAAAACATTGAAAAAGTGCATTGAAAAAGAAAAAAAACCCAATCTATCTCAAGAAGCTTTTTCCTAAGGTTTAGTCAAAAGATTTCTTCTTGCAATTTCAATCTAATAAGTTGGGTCGTGCACTCTTCAGAAACAAGAGAACCGTTTCTGCCCGATTAAGTTAGGGATTCAGAATATCATTCCTTCCCTTGCTAAGCACCTGTGACAGGTCTGAAATGACACCGGCAAACCCTATCTCTCTCTTTAAAAATGGATGAAAAAGGGGCGAAATCTTATGAGAGTATTAAATCACGTTAACGTTTTCAGCAAAAATGTTGACATCTTGTGCCGGCTGAGATTGCTAATGTCTCATGAGGGCTGACCAATTTTAATAGTTGTGGTACCCATACCATTGCACAAGATTGTATGCTGGTACCCGGGATCTAAAAAGATGGCTGATCTCTTATTATTTAAACAAGGTCTTCACTATCCTTATTTATTTCTTAACTATCTTTACCTAGGATTAAGAATACCAAACTGTTTCCCCTTCACAGGACCAAATCTCTAGGCCAGTGGTGGCGAATCTATGGCACGGGTACCAGAGGCGGCACTCAGAGCCCTCTCTGTGGGCACGTGCGCCATCGCCCCAGTCCTAGGCCTTCAGCTGGGTTTTACAAAACCTTTTCGCTTTAGGCCTCCGCCGCCATGTGCAAAAAAGAGAGGTTCAATCAGTCAATTTCAACTTCTCGTGGGAAAAAAAAAGATCTTGCAAAGTTGGAATTGATTGATTGAACTTTTTAGTCCCACCCAGTCTGCCGTTACCACCGCAGCCACACCCAGCCAATGGGCCACACCCAGCCAATGGGCCACACCCACCAGCACTCAACGATGCATAAGTGGGTTTTGGGTTGCAGTTTGGGCACTCCGTCTCTAAAAGGTTCGCCATCACTGCTCTAGGCCCTTGGCCATCATTGTTCTGTTTAGGCCATATTTTTCCATCGATCTCTGATCTCCAGTTGGACATCGATGGAGAAGTTGAGCACTCTTTTAAAACATTACTGCGCATACAGCTGCATTGAAAGCCAGGCAGAATTGCCGGATTGACTCATTCATTAAAAAAAAACAACCCCAGAGATAACCATGCAGCGGGTCATAGAAGTAAATTATTTCTCTAAAGAGACCAGAGTGAGGTTTTGGGGATTTACCTTTCTCATAGCTGTACCTCCTTGCCGCTCAGCAGCAGAGTTGACATACCTGCAAGAGAGATCACGGAAGAAAAGATTTCAAAAACACAAACTGAATGAATTATAAATGCCATTTATACCGGTCACAGAGAAAAGGTTACAGAAATGCCTGCTGGCTCTTTGAACGATGCTGCCTGGCATGTCTCTCATTGCTCATGCAAGTGTCAGCTCAAAAGGATCAATAAACGAAAAAAGTGATTCAGAATCATTTAACATAGAACTGGACAAACCACTGAAGTCATTCAGTTATTTGAAAAGGGGGTTTGTTGTGAAGTGGGATTTTGAAGCCTTTAGGATTCCAGCTTGGAAAGTAACACATATGGATTGGACTGGTGGAGAGAATTCAGCCCCAGAAATGTGAGGTTAAAACACATGAGTAATGGTTGCACGAATTGGGTATATCTAGTTTAATGAGAAGAAGCACTAGGGGTGACATGACAGTCGTCTTCCAATATTTGAGGGGCTGCTATAAAAAAGAGGGGGTCAACCTCTTCTCCAAAGCATCTCAAGGCAGGACAAGAAGCAACGGATGGAAACTAATCAAGGAGAGAAGCAACCTAGAACTAAGGAGAAATTTCCTGACACTTAGAACAATTAAACAATGAAATGATTTGCCTCCAAAAGTTGTGGGTGCTCCATCACTGGAGGTTTTTAAGAAGAGATTGGACAACCATTTGTCTGAAATGGTATAGAGCAGGGGTCTTCAAACTTGTCCCTTTTATGGCTTGTGGACTTCAACTTCCAGAATTTCTCAGCCAGGCATGCTGGCTGAGGAATTCTGGGAGTTGAAGTCCACAAGTCATAAAAGGGACAAGTTTGAAGACCCCAACTCTAGAGTCTCTCTTCATCTTTTTATTTCCTGTTGTGGTCAACCAAAGACTAATCTCACAAGGAGGATATAGGCACTAGCACTTTCCCAACCTTGTGACCTAATAATGGGTGCGCAGAACCACATTGTTGAGATCTGAGGTTCATACACACCCACTGTGATTAGCAGATGCCGAGATCTTCATCACCAAGAATTTGTCAGCCCCTCTTTGAAGTTGTCCAAGTGGTCTACCGTTATATTATCTGCTGTAGAAATATCTATCTTGTCTGGATTGCCTACAAATTAATTTCTGGATTCTATTATTAGCACGAATCCTTTTAGAAACCCACGTCAGGTTTTTTTTTTAAACTTGCTTTTATATTTTTTCTTAAAAAGAGAAGAAGAATCTTTGAGGTGCCCAATTATTTAAGAAATTTCTTTATTCTGATTTTTGACGAGTTGGGGAATGCTTAAAGTGTGTTGAATTTCAGGGCCCTGTGATGAGTTTTGTTTCATATGTATCTAAGGGTCTCTGTATCTATCTACAAGGCTGAAAATTAATGATTTTGCTGTCAAATTTTGGCAGACTAATCATGAATAAAGGAGCCACAAAGGGTGAACTTTGCCCACTTCTATCTTTGAATGTTGCTGAGATTTTTTTTTATACCCTCCAGGCTTGGGGCGGTGGGTTTCTTCTAATTCTAAGCATTGCTCTAACTAATCTGAAACTTGTCAGTTCCAATCCTTCTCCTCATTTTTTATGATCAGTGCCCATCTGGACAAAATCCTGCTCAGGCAAAGGTTGATACTGTGTTGTGAAATCAGAATACAGAACTGAACCTTTGCAAGAGAATCACACGGCTGTTGTATTTTCCTATCGAGAAACCCCCGTTTAGATTGTCAGTTGACCTAATCAACCGTAACTATAGAATGTGTCCGCAAATAATTTCACACATCATGCTTTTCCCACACGGGGAGCAGATCAGCATATGGAAACTATAGGTCTTAAATAAACTTGAGGAGCTATACTGGGTTTATACTTTGTGATAATCTAGATTAAAAATAGGACTGGGTGTTTTGTGGTTCAGTCTTAGAGAAAATTCAACTGTTGTCTTATCATATTGTATGAAGATGACCATCTTGATGTCTATGAAGATTCTCAATCATCCAGGTCACCAAAGGTGCTTTTTCCCAAAAGGCAGCTGGACACTCTTTCTTTCTTTCTTTCTTTCTTTCTTTCTTTCTTTCTTTCTTTCTTTCTTTCTTTCTTTCTTTCTTTCTTTCTTTCTTTCTTTCTTTCTTTCTTCCCTTCCTTCCTTCCTTCCTTCCTTCCTTCCATTTCTTCCTTTCTTCTTTCTTTCTTTCTTTCTTTCTTTCTTTCTTTCTTTCTTTCTTTCTTTCTTTCTTTCCTTCCTTCCTTCCTTCTTTCTTTCTTTCTTTCTCTTTCCTTCCTTCCTTCTTTTTTTCTTTCTTTCTTTCTTTCTTTCTTTCTTTCTTTCTTTCTTTCTTTCTTTCTTTCCTTCCCTCCCTCCCTCCCTCCCTCCCTCCCTCCCTCCCTTCCTTCCTTCCTTCCTTCCTTGCAAATGGTGATCACATGACCTCAGGACACTACAAAACCCATGCCTCTTGCCAAGTGCGCAAATTCTGATTAGTGTGAGGACCAGTAGGAAGTTATTTTTCCCCCAAAGCCGATGCAACTTTGAATGGTCACTAAATGAATGGATGCCAAGGGACACACTTATGTCTGTAGCAAGACAAAAAGGGGCAACCCTGTGTTTTCCCAAGGCGCAAACACACCTTGCCATTGTGTGTTGGATCCCTTCATGAAAACCTCAGCAGAAGTTGCTGCGAAAGAGGTCAGTTTCATGGCGTGAATCAAAAGTGGCCTTGCCATCACTTTAATGCCTTTATTCAAATCCACAGGATTATCAGAGCCAAACATGACGCATTTTTTTTAAAAAAAAGATGATCAGAGGTCTGAATAAAGATCAGGACCTTGAAGATGTATTTAATTAGTTAGCTTAGTAGAACAGACAAGGAATAACGGGTGGAAACTGATCAAGGAGAGATTCAACCTAGAAATAAGGAGAGATTTTCTGACCGTGAGAACAATAAACCACTGGAATAGCTTTCCTTCAGAAGTTGTGGAAGCTTTATCACTGGAGGTTTTCAAAAAGAGACTGGAATACCATCTGTCAGAAATGGTGTAGGGTCTCCTCAGTGGTGGGATTCAAATATGTGAACAACCGGTTCTCTGTGTGGATGCCGCTTCCGGAAGTCCATTCTGGGCCTGGGCAACCAAAAATTAGCTACCGGTTCTGCCGAAGTGGTGTGAACCGGCTGAATCCCACCACTGGGTCTCCTGCTTGGGCAGGGGTTGGACTAGATGACCTGCACGATCCCTTCCAACTCTGTTATTCTACTCTATTCTAAACAATTAGTTATCTTAGAAGAACAAGATGGTTAGGGGACTGAAAGTTAAAACATATGAAGAATGGTTGCAGGAATTAGGTACAGTATATCTCGTTTAATGAAAACAAGGATTAGGCATGACATGATAGTAGTGTTCCAATATCTGAGCAGCTGCCACAAGGAAGGGGGGGGGTCCAACTATTGGAGAATAACACCTGAAGGCAAGACAAGAAGCAATGGATGACAACTAATCAAGGAGAGAACAAACTTGGAATTAAGGAGAAATTCCCTGACAATGAGAACAATTAATCAATGGAACAACCTGCCTCCAGAAGCGGTGAATGCTCCTACACTGGAGGTTTTTAAGAAGAGACTGGACAGCTATTTGTCTGAAATGGTATAGGGTTTCCTGCCTGAGCAGGGGGTTAGACTAGAAGACCTCCAAGGTCCCTTCCAACTCTGTTATTCTGTTAACAATGTTTGTGAGAAGGAAGATGATGGAGATTTATAAAGCTGGACCTGATAGGGTCAGAGGGGCTATATTAAAGCTTTTGTTTCCCTTTTGTTATGCTGTTACTCAAGGTCATCCCCTGGCACGGAGCGATAAGAGGCAAAGTAACACCTTTCCCAGATGGGATTCCCTCTAAGTTCTCCGCGCGCATGAACTTAATACTCTGTGATCCGGTTCCTGCCCTCTTCATTTCACAGCACCTGCAGGGATCCGCACATCTTATCTAAACAGCAGAAGCCATTTCGGAATCTGTATCAAATCTAGAAAGCTGCTGGACTTTGACTTACGATTTCAGCACAGGGCACAGCTGCATGCTGAGCCAGAAGGATCCCCCCCCCCCAAAAAAACAACAACAACCCAACCCCTCCTCATTTGCTGTCTCTGGGTTTTTGTTTTTTTTTTGCTGGCATTATTGGCCTAAGCAGCAGGAGAGGCAGCTCGCTGTTGGTTTGGCTATAGCCAGGCATTCCTTCAGGATCAGCAGTTTGAAACATCGGTGGGGAAAAAAAAAAACCTCAGCTGTGACCGAAAGGCCTCTGTCTACTTCCTGCTGCTTTTGGACTGAGCCCCGCAGAGCAAAAAGGCCAAGGAAGCAGCGCGTTCCTAGCTGAACAAAAGAGGAAGAGCTTGTGTTTGCACCAAGCCGATTTAGAAACTCACGCTGGTCTGCTGATTTGAGAAATACAGATAGATTTCAGCCAAAAGAGGGAAAACGTTTGAAAGTAGGCAGCATAATATGGCTGGCGTGGCAAAACTGCTCAAGGTGGGCATCTGAAGAAGGACTAAGGAGAAACTTCCTGACCGTTAGAACAATTAACCAGTGGAACAACCTGCCTCCAGAAGCTGTGAATGTTCCAAGTTTTAAAGAAGAGATTGGACAGCCATTTGTCTGAAATGGTATAGGGTTTCCTGCCTGAGCAGGTGATTAGAATAGAAGAACTGCAAGGTCCCTTCCAACTCTATTATTATTATTATTATTATTATTATTATTATTATTATTATTATTATTATTATTATTATTGATCATCGCATAGTCAGCCCGATGTTCAGACTGGATTTGACATTTCTGTCTACCTATCGAGTCCTTATCAAGGACCTGGGATAGGCAGATATGGAATCCAAATTAATAATAATAATAATAATAATAATAATAATAATAATAATAATAATAATAATTATTATTATTATTATTATTATTATTATTATTATTATTATTATTATTGATCATCGCATAGTCAGCCCGATGTTCAGACTGGATTTGACATTTCTGTCTACCTAT